CTTTTATGACTAAGAAGCTGGGGTCAATATAAACATAACATTTGCTTTGTTATACTCATTCTAACATTTTATAATGTTTTGTTTTCCATAAATCTGGTAATCACTTGGGATTCATCTGCATTACATTCTGCAGGGCAAAAGCATGTCCTATTGGCTATACCAGTCAATAGATCATATTTGTATCACAAGGACTGCCTGATAGCCCACTAATGGCAACAGAAAAATTCCCATTAACTTTAGTCAGCTTTGAACCAAGTCTGTAATGCCTAGCACATCACTACTTTATAAAAATCCTAAGTATCTTGTATTCATCTAGAGTTTGCACTTTCTATTGAAAAGGCTCCAAATGATCAATACAAATCTAGTTTCTAATGGAACCAAGGTACCTAAAATACACGCTCTGAATATTAGCATGTTTCCTGAGTCAATCTACTGGGAATTTACAGTGCATTTCTTGAGACAGCAAAGCAAACAATTATTAATACCAACTATTTTGTGAATACAGATTTCTTCTCACCTGATGTAAATATCAGGAATAAAAGAAACAATAAGCAGAATAGTGACCACTCACAGATTAATATTATTATATGAATTTACATTTATATTACTCTTATTGAAGTCGAAAGGCTTGTTGAGACAAGTGAACTCATAAATTTGCAAGCATATTTTCACAAGTAGTTTTCAATGAAAAAAGTTATAAAAATTAAAAAGTATCAGAGGCCTGGTTTTATTAAGTCATAAGCCTTTCACATCTAGGGTTAAGGATATGATTGTCACATTCTGTATTTCCGAGACAAATAATTTGCATACAACAACCTCATTATTATCCCAGGTTTTTACCAGAAACACACACTCATGAACTAAAAATGCATTTCTATATGAAAAGAAAAACAATCTCCAACAGTCGAAAGGAATCCCAAACCTACATATGACAATGTATTAGAGGAAATCCTGAATATAAGACAAAATAAACTTGCATTATGCCAACAATTTTCTACTAGCTGGAACTACTACTGCAGGCTTGTATGAGAGACCCTACTAATGCTCGATGTAAAGGCTAATGTTTTGAATAAGCAGGGCCTGTCCCACAAGAAGCCTGTATGTGGATGATAGCTGAGCTATATGAGCCTAATTTACACAACTTGGAGGCTTAACAAACTCTGCTGTGCCCCATGGAATGATCTAGGGACTTAACTCAAGATTAAAGTTAAAGGCCTGATTCTCATTGCCTTCAGAATGCCAGCTGAAATTCTGAGGTCAATTGCACTGTCATTATAGGAGAGAGAAATTAGCTACCTCATTACCCTAGTAATGCTGATATTTCCATGGGGACAGATGCTCTTACTTTGGCCAGCTCTTTCCAATAGGTCTTTTTCTTTTATGTTTATATTACAAAACACAGAGCTAGTAACAAAACACTAGGCAAGATATTCCAAAGCTGCACACATATAAATAAAGACATACACACACACACATATATATACACATACATATATTTCATTTGCTTGACCCCAAAAAGTACACAGACAATTAGCTGACATTTTAGCCTATTAAATGGAATGCTGCTATAAAACTGGTTTTGAACTATCCAACTGGTTGTATCTTTTTTGTCATCCACACCTTCACAGCTAAAGTGACGCATTTATTTTTATATTCATAACCGCAGACATCTTACACAAAGCAATAAATATTTACAATCATGCAAAAGTAACACATACAAGGAGCTGGTGGCTTCCATGGCAGGGAGCAGCACTAGAACAGAGAGGCTCTCCATTCTCTCTGGAGCTCTGGACTGTGCTGCAGCATAAGCACAAGCTGGATAAAAAAGGTGCTGCTCAAGAACATGCTCTTCACTTTTGACATTTTTTTTATCTAACCAAGCATTACTTGACCTCATGCATTTATCAGGACATCTCCTGACTAAAAGCAGAACAATCTCACCTGAGAAAATAACTACTGTTAACCAGTATACAGTAAAATAGTTTAAAGCTATACATGAAACAGGGACACTCTTCCAGCTCCTATAACAGCCTAGTACACAAAACAGTTCACTTGATACAGAAAAGCCCTTTCCAGTAGATGGAGATTAGCCTATTGTTTAGAGTTCAACTACCTGTTACAATTAAAAGGTTTTTAATTTTCATTACTGAGTGGATTATATTCGCAGAATACATATGTTCAATGCAGATTGCTAAAGTGTGAAAAAACTTAGGCTGAGGCAAATATCACCAGCCACTCACAAGTTCTTCTAGTAAATGACTTACCAATGACTTTTCAATTGTTAACAGTGCATCAGTCATGTAGGACCTATTTCTACATGAAACAGGTTATGACCCATGGGGAAATCAAGCATCTCCTGATTAAGGCACTGAATTGGCCATTCAGAGACTTAGGTTAATTGTCAAAATCCACAACAGATTCCCACAGTGGTTTTTAAAGAAATCAGGTTTTGCTTCCACTCCTTGTATTTAAACAGCACTTGTACATTTTTCTTCACCTTTCTTTGTGTTGTTTGGTAAATATGCAAATACTCTGCCAAAGGAAATGTCCCTTTTCTGGGGATTTCAACAGATCCAGGTAAGGACTAAAGTAAGTGATTTCTAGTTACCCCTTAATAGTGAGGGATAAATAGCTACTGATTCAAGTATGCATCTGACACAGGTCAACCTGAAGGACACAGACCTACATACTGAAAACATGAGTAATATGTTGGTTTTAATATTGGTTAAGTACACCAAAACACACAAAAAACCATGCAACAGAATCAAACAAACAAAAAAATGATTGGGGAAAAATGGGCAGTCTTATCTTTACAAGTAAATCCACTGTTGCAAATCAGAAGCATTTTTCTGGAACACTTATTGCTTGTGTGCCCTTCTGCGGTTTCTCACAGCAACACAACTGTTCTCAACCTCAGGTTTCAGCAGCCAACATGAAACAACACAGCACTTCCAAGTCAGAGTGAATGCTTGAGGCTCTGAGCTCCACAGCAAATCTACACTTAAGCATTTGACAGAAAATGTCATGGCAATCAAAAATGCTTAGGACGCCACAAACAGAACACCTGGCTGGCATTGTTATGGATGTAGCTGATTGCACACTACATTCTAAAGAACAGAAATCCAGAGTCTGGAAACAATGTTTTATCATGAATATAATCTAAGAATTATTCACTACTACAGAGATCCTTGAAGGTTCCCATTTTCTTCTGGCACCAAAAAAAGAAAATTCTGCCCATTCTATAAATTTCCTTTGCATTTATACCTGGCAGCAACCAATGCATTAATTGTAATTTTCTTTAAGTAGTAACATTCTAACCATGGTTAAGTGTTTTAACAGTCATCGTATATTAGACTGTAAAACAAATCTCTAGAAAGCTTGACAGATGGTGTTTTGAAGGATAATGCCAGGTACCTGGTGTGAATCTGACATTAGCATTCTCTCAGACAACTCACCTTCATCTCTTATAAAATCTAGTGAAATAACGTATAATCCTACTTATGATAAAAAAGAATGAGAAAACCGTTCATTTACTCAATCCCACAGTTGCTCAAAATGCAACTTCTGCACGAACTTGATACCTAGAAAAACCAATTTTATTTTCCTTTTTTTTACTTTTCTTTGCCTACTTTCAGTTTTGTCCTTCCTGCATTTTCCTCCTTTCCCAGACACACACACACAGTCTCAGTGGATACTTCCCCCCTCTGGGAAAAGATCGAACTGCAAGGCTCAAAATATATATTCCTCTAAGAAATAAGGACTTTGTTTATAGTATGATTATTAAAATAACAACTGGAAAAAGCAGTATGACTGCCTCCTTAGCAGCAAGGCAGCTATGACAAAAGAGTACTAAATGGCTCTATATTCATACTGAAATTCAGTATGAATTTCAAAGCTATCAAACAGAAGCACTCCAACAAAACCTGGACTCAATATCTTCATTCACAATCAATAGAACATACATTAAGGAAAGACAATATAAAAACTGCTGACAGAGGAAAAACACTTACTGCTTAGCATGGTAAATCTGAATTAGTTATGATTTTCTTTAAGTCATAAACAGAACTTGGGAAATTATTTGCCACCTCTGAATGTGAGTTTATTTGAATGTGTGATTCTCAAGGGTCTGACCATACACTGCTTTGCTTTAATCTCATTTAAGAGCTTGATAGGTTATCTTGATTTATGCATCATTCTTTACTACTTCTTTTCAACATTAGGTTCCAAGTTTAGCAGGGTTTTTTAAAAAGACTATTAAAAATCTAAGAATGAAAACATGTATAAGAGGAACTTAATGAATTATACTTTGGCAAAAGTTGAAACTCCATACCACGAGGTCTTCACTCAACCACTATATTGTACAGTTATTAAAAGAGAGACTAAATTATAAACTTTTTAAAAAACCTCTAACTCAGGTCCAACTAAAACTGTACTCCAACTAAAGGAAGGAAAGCAGGGCGAATTACAGTGAGCAACCAAATGTTATAACCAGTGTATTCTTATCTCCGCACAAAACCAAGAGGAAATCATCATGTCCTGGATGAAACTGTCATGAAATTGATAAGCCATATCCAATCAATGTCTGACATCGCGCAGCCGACTATAACAGCGCCGCATTAACGGCATAACAATATTACCATATAAACCTTATTACTTCAGCGTGGAAAACAGGACACAACGAGTGTAATGAAACGCCAGCCTCTGTCTTTGTGTAAGTGAGCCCGGGAGCCAGGGGAGCGCTTCCCGCAGAGCGGACCCGGCCGCGGCAGAGCCGGCGCACGGCGGGCGGGGAGCGGGGCACTCTCTGCCGCTGCCGGGGCTGCTGCCGGACGGCTCCCTCGGCGCGGCCCCGAGCCCCGAACCGCCGCCGCCCCGAGCCCACGCGCGGCCAGCTCCCGCCCGCCCCCAAACCCGATTTCGCTCCGCGTCCATCGGCCGCGGCCGCCGAGCGCCGACCGCGAGGAGCGCCCCGGCCGGGGGAGCGCGGAGCGGAGCCTCACCGTCTTCCAGGAGGCGCATGGCGTGAACAAAGCAGGGATCCAGGCTGTCCTTCTCGGCCATCAGCTCGGGCAGGTACTTGTCCTGCTCCATGGCCGCGGGCACGCCGGGCGGGCTGCGCGGGGTGCCGGGCTCGCCGCTCCGCGCCCTCGGCCGCCCGCTCGCCGCTGGCCGCGCCGGGGCCGCCCCGCAGGTGCCGCCGCCCCTCCCGCGGCGGGCGCTGCCCCGGCCCCGCCTCCGCCTTCCCCTCGCGCCGCGCGGGGGCGGGCACGTGCGCGGGTCGCCGCGCGCCGCCGCTCGCGCGCCTTCGCCCCCGCGCCTCCTCCTCCTCCCGCCACTGAGCGACCCGCGGCCGCCCGCGGCCTTAAATAGGGAGGCGGAGCCAGCCGGGCCCCGCCCCCGTCGCTCCCATTGGCGGCTGCACACCGCCGGGGGCAGACTCGTCACGCCATTGGCTGTCGCCAGGCGGGGGCTCTCAGTGTGTCTGTGTGTCTGTCTGTCTGTCTGTCTGTGTGTCTGCCTTTCTCTCTCTGTGTCTGGGTCGTGGTTTAGGACAGGTATTCCCTTATTTACTGCTCCTACTGAAACCACACTGCCACTCGCTCCACCCACCCTTTTCCCCATTCCCCTTGGCAGGGGAGAGAGCAGAATTGGAGGAATCGAAGGTGAAGATCACGGATGGGGATAAGAACAATTTACTGGAAACAGCAATGAGATAAGAAAATGAACAGTAACAGCATGATGTTAATCACAAAAGTGTTCGAGAGAGATGAGTGATTCTCAAGCAAAATGCTCAGAATCGGGGTTACCCCACAGCCCCCAGCCCGGCTTACTGAACCAGAAGGAGCCCCTTCTCAAGAGACTCCTTTCCCCCATAAACCCAGAGCCGGCAATGGCCTGAAGTGATAGCAGAACAACCTCTGGGTCCTGGCCATGAACCCTCCTGGCTACGGCAAAAATTAACTCGTCCAGGCAGGAACCAGGACAGTCTGTGCGTCTGTCACTGTGCGGGTGCCTGTGTCTGTGTGTCTGTCTGCGTGCAGCTGTGTGTGCCAGTTTCTGTGAGTCAGCGGGCGTGCGAGCACAGGTGCTGTCTGTGAGTGGCGTCCGTGGTGCCCGTGCGTGTACGTGTGACCGTGTGCGGCTGTGCCCGCGCTGTGCCTGTGGGAGCGTGGGCGCGTATCCGTGTGTGCCTGAAACCGTGCGTGTGTGTGTGTGTGTGTGTGTGTGTATGTGTGATGCTGTGCTGCGCTGTTTTCTGTGACTCTGGGCTTGCGTCTGTGCCCGAGAGCGCGCACTGGGTCTGTGCCCCTGTGCCCTTTTGTCCACGCGTGTCTCAGCGTGCCTGCGCCGCCGGTGTTTCTGCGTGGGCCGCCCTGCCCGTGCGCGCCGCTGATCTCCGGGCAGCCGCCGTGTTGCGGCCGTGGCCCGGCCCGTGTGGCCGTGGCCGTGTCCCTCCGCGGGGCCGTGTCCCTCCGCGGGGCCGCGGCTCGGTGCCCGCCGTGCCTCGGTGCCCGCCGTGCCTCGGTGCCCGCCGTGCCTCGGTGCCCGCCCCGCCTGCCCGCGCCGCTGGCCGGGCGCTGTCCGCGGTGCTGGAGCCGGGAGGCGGCGGCGTTGCCCGGCCCTCCCAGCGCTACTCTCTCTCGTCCTTCCCGCCCCCGCGCTCTGCGCAGCCCGCCGTGCCTCCGCCGAGCTCCGCCGTGCTCCCCGGGCTCCGCGGCCCTCCGGGCTCCGGGGAGACGCCTCGCTAAAGCGGTGCGGCATCGGCGGCGGGGCCGTGCTGGAGCTGCCAGACAGCCTCTCTCTCCCTTGAGGATGCGATCAGAGCACCAGCGAGCGGGCACCGCTGCGCGCAGACCGCGCCGCAGATGTCTGCCCGGGCCCGCGGTGCGCAGCTGGAGAGGGCGCAGCAGGCGCCCGGAGGTCCTGCGGGAAAGGGGCGATCTCTGTCGAGGAATGCCGTGCTGCAGCTCCCACGGCCACGCCTGGCAGAATTAGAGATATTGTGCAATTAAAGTGTCTACAGCTTGGGTAAATAAAATTGATTTTAATTAGACTTTAGCTTTAAGTATACATTTATTTTAGGTTATATTTATTCAGGATTTTACCCCAAACGACCATACAGTAATGTGTTTTGATTTTGAAAGTAAACAAAAGACGTCTAACTCAATTCATTAAAACTCCATTTGTGGGACCTCAAGAACAAGCAGAGTATGGCACCATACAGCATTTTGTGTTCAACCCCTATTCTTTCTTAGTATGTACCACTAATACTACTATCTTAGTATTTATTGTAATGAAATATACAATTGTTGCAATAATACATTTGTGAATGGCCTAGTACTGTTCATTTCAAAGGGTTTTTTTTGTTGATGCTGTGGTGTTTAGATTTTGTTTGTTTGTTTGTGGTTTTGTTTTGGTTGGGGGGAGTTGGCAGAGAAAGAAGGAATGAAAAAGATAAAAATCAAAGCAAAATCTTTATAATGGCATCCACAAGGTTTTGAATGTGTTCTACAGACATTGCATAAACATTTGGTCTGCAATGTTTTCAAAATCCTAAGACATATACAGGCAGCATTTATGCAATTTCCACTCAGCATGCAGATAATTGAGGGACTGCATGTGTTTACAAAAATATGTAGAGAATGTCGGTGACTGATGCCTTATTATTCTGTTGTATTTCTAGAAGGGAGGGATAAAATACCTGAGAACCAATCTCCCAGCTGAGAAAGAATAGGAGCAGGAAAACAGTTGATTTCAGCTGAAGAGGCAGAGAAGACTGATAGCAGAATTGAAAGGTTTAATAGTCAATCAGCTTTTACTACAAAGTGTGTGTGAGGATAAAGGGAAGACATAAGTCCTTCTTTAAAAAACAACCAAATAAAACAAAGAAAATCACAGAACCAAGATAGTTTATTAATTATTTACCCTGATTCAATTTGCCGCATGAATAGTTCTCCTTTCCCATTTAACAGCGTAGGAAGAAATGGCCGTGTTTCCAACACAGCTCAGGTCTGTCCTGCTCAAGAGATCACCTGTGTCATCAGAGTGTATTTCTGCACCTCTGTTTTTCAGAACAATTCATGCTGGTGCTCCTTGGTTCAGAAAGAGAGAAGAGGAATGATAGGTGTGTTCTCCTAAAGCATCTTCAAGATGATTGTAAGCCATCCTCCCAGAAGTAATCCTGGCCTGGTAGCTTTCAAGACATACCATATGGTCATGGATATGGAAAATGAATTTTGGGGGTTTTCTGTCTAAGGTGCTTCAAGAATAATGTTACTTTATTCTGTTTTATTGTTCTTAACCTACTTAGATCACAGGAAGCTTTGATTTAAACACCTTTAAGCTTATTAAACGATGGGAAATGCTAAATTCATTTAACTCTTTTTCTGGTCAAAGGCATAGACCAGAGTAGCAGGTTTAATTGCACATATTTTTACAGCAAACTAGACAGAAACAATTTCCCCATAAGTTCATTTTTGAAAACTTAGAAAGTTAAATTGACTTTCAGTGATACTTAAGTTGCAAAGCCATTGCGATACCTTTCTGAATTTTACCTTATACCTCATTAATAAAAAAAAATCATTTAAGTCTGTCTGATGGGAAATATATGTTATAATGTCATCAAACATGACTTCATTGCTAGTTGGAGATCAATTTTTTTCACAGCTACTAAAAATCAGAGACACATTTTACAGCTCTTTAGTTTGAAGTGTCAAGCCAAATTGAAGTTTATCTGTACTATATTTTATTGCTAAGTCTGATAATGAAGTGGATCACAGCACACCAGATTGCAGTTTATTCAAAGACAGAACAGGTAACAATCATTAAGTATTTTTGCCAGTGCCTTCCAAACACCTTGTATTATTATGTAGAACTGAAGTCAAAAGGCAGTGGATGCAAACAATTGGAAGAAAAACTCCAAACTTTGCACATGCTTATTCAAAAAGTATTAAATCTTTTGAGAATGTGCAGTAGAATGAATGGTCAGTGTGAGCACAATTAGAATGAATGACCCTTCTGACACCTCACAATAAAGTTGATACAATAATTTAAGTGAATAGTTAACTATGTGTGTGTGAGTGTACATAGGACCTCATACATCAAAAAATCAGAATAATCAAGTGTTTTCTATTTCAGGAATTCAATTTGCTTTCAAATTTCTTTACTGGTTCTTTTGCTTTAGGTATGGGTCAAGGTTATCTGGTTTCTGTACAAACTGCAAATGAGCATTATAAAAAATTAGGGACTTTCTTCTATAAGCTAAGTAACCATCTCCTTCTCTGAAAGTAGAATTATAATAGACAATATAAGTAATAAAGAGGAAGCAGTACATGTGCAAAAAAGGAGGGAATGACCCTACCTCCTTTACTGTAGTTTATTTAATTCCTTCTTTGAATACAGTCTGTAGCCAGGCTCCATCTGATCTCTGCATGCTGTCCTGTGGATACCAGTTCTTGTACCTTGCGGTTTCATGGTTTGATTTTGGGGCAAGTGAACATGCACAGAGCTTGTTTCCATGTAACAGCACTCAGATAATCACTGGGCTTTGGCCAGGGGTGGGTCCAGATGGAAGTGGCTACACCCTCTCCTTGCAGAGGCCAGCCCTGAAGACTCCCGCACTGCCAACAGCTTGCTGTTTAATCCAGAAGGGAAGTGGGCATCAGCAAGGGCACAAGTCACTGCACAAGTGTGCATCAGCAAGGGCACAAGTCATTGCAGGTCACCTTCAGACTACCCCAGGCACAGCAAAAGACTCAGCCATATCTGGTGCAACACACAGACGGTTGATCTCTGTGGTAAGTCCCTGATTTCAACAGGGTTTTGGTCCCTTCACTCATACAGCTGAATAAACACAGATTTTCTTAAATGGAGACAATTCTTACAGATTAGCTATTAGTCTATACAAACCAAATAAATCAGTTAAAAAAAATATATCAGTACCTACTTATTTCATTTCAAGGCGTTAAACAGTTTCATAAACTTGGTGAATCTACAACCCTAGGAGAGTTCAATGTGATTTCCAGGTGTAAAACAAATTCTGCCTTATGCTGTGACTGAGTTTATGACACCCACATTACAAGTTCTTAGTTCATCAAAACACATTTTATAGAATTATATGTGTTACAGCTCTAGTTCA